AATGAGCAACATTAGTATACAGAGAAGAGCTCTTGAGCCACAATAAAAACATGTATTAATGGAAGGAAAGGATGAGAATAAACCCTCCCCTTTCCCCATGGCTACAGATGGGAATGCCCTGCCTCTCCTAATAATGCTATTAACCATCAACTACATTTGCACAACACTCTATAATTTACTAAGACTGAGGCTCATAGCCAGTTATGCATGTTTTATGATCCTCATTTTCTGGAATAGGAAGCAGACAAGGGAGTTACCATTTGTGTGAGGAACCGGATTCTGCTTTTCTGATCAAGCCTCCCATTCTCTTTGCCGCAGCCCAGCACACGCACCCACAATTCTGTCCAACCACACTCTGGGACCAGAGCTTTGAGATGCCTGGAAAGATTCTCTGCTGTGTGTCTGGCCCAGGCCTGCACCACAGGTCTAGAATCTCTGATCCCTGCTAAGGCTGATTAGAACAAACAGCTCAGGACAACAACTCAGAAGAAAGCCCTGGCCTCTGGGAGAAGAAAATACTGTACTGTGGTTGGACACAGCCCAGACAAGAGTGAAAGAAACCAGAGGCCAGGGGATGAGAAGAAGAGGCCAGGCTTGTCCACAGATGCTGATTATAACAAGACTCCAGGAAAGATGCCTCCCAAGAGACTGTGAGAGGAAGTAAGATGGAGGGGTGGGATGGGCTGTGTTGGGGTGGGCTTGTAAAGTGGTTCTGTTGGGCTGGGACCAGGGCAAGAAGATCCTACAGGATGGGTGACTGAAAGGGATGGAAGGAGTCTAAGGCCCCTCAGTGGGAATGTAAAAGCCCACATACCACTCTGCCCAGCACCGCTACCACCTGCAGCACAAAGGACGATGCAACTCAGAATCAACTGTTCTGGGGCAGTTTTTTCTTATAGGGATGTTATTATAATGAAGTCTTGATTCAGGAGACATGATGGCATTTGTCCCCCATATTCATTCTCAAATCGTGAGCTCTTCTGTCCCCGTCCCCAGCTCATGGCGAGAGCCACAGCATCATTTGTCGGGGTGAATGGCTGATGTAGGTTGGCCCATTTAGTCAGAGCCAAAGCCTGCAAAACCACAGAAGATGAGATGGAAGCACAGTCTAGGAATAGCTGCTGAGAGACACCATGCAGCCTGGGCAGGCAGCGGCCAGGCAGAAGCAGGGTCAAGACCACAAGCAGACAGACTGGTACAGAGGAAAGGAAAAACTTCACATTGATCAGCATTGCCTCAGTGTCAATGGTCTGCCTTTGAGAACATGAGCCCCAAAACTAAGAGAATCAATCAGGGGAACCCTTGGCCCCAGTGTCAAAGGGCCTTATAAGCCTCCCAGGAGAATCCGCTACGGACCTCTTGGCCTGAGGGGTCATGCTCCCAACTCCAGCCCCCTGCTCTACTCCTCCAACCAAAGGACGTTCCTCTGTCACTGGGCTGGAAGAACTAGCATGCTTATTGTTGGTTGAGAGCTCTTGGAAGGGTGACCTCACTTCCCTTGCTCCAAAATGGGCTACCTGGAGGCTGGGAGAGCTGAACAGGCCTGAGTTAGAGGGAGGAAGACGCTGGTGTGTCTGGACCACCTGACGTCTCTCAGCACAAAACCCATTATTTTCCAAATCCAAGAAACAACTCTGGGAGATATAACTAACTCTACACATTCTACACATGGCAAACCCAGATCAGATGGGCTAAGTGCGGGCATGTGTACTAAATCTCTTCAGTCACGTCTGACTCCGTGACCCTATGGATCTAGCCCACCAGGCTCCTCTGTCCATGGGATTCTCCAGGCAAGAATACTGGAGTGGGTTGCCGTACGCTCCTCCAGGGGAATCTTTCCAACCCAGGGATCAAACCTTCATCTTTCATGTCTCCTGCATTGACAAGCAGGTTCTTTATCACTAGTGCCACCTGGGAAGCCCCATGGGTTAATTACCTGTCCACAATTACCCACTCAGAACCAGAATTACAACCCAACTCTTTTTCCTATTGTTATTCTCATTTTTTAAATTTTCTTTTTCTGTTTTGGCCTCACCATGCAGACCTTAGTTCTGCAACCAGTTCTCAAACCCGTGCCCCCTGCACTGGAAGTGCAGAATCTTAACTGCTAAGCAGTCAGGAAAGTCCCTGTTATTCTCTCCTTTTTTTTTTTTTNTTTTTTTTTTTTTTTTTTGGTTATTCTCATTTTTTAAGCTATAAACAAGCACTGCCTCTAGCTGCTGCTGCTGCTAAGTCACTTCAGTCATGTCCGACTCTGTGTGACCCCATAGATGGAAGCCCACCAGGCTCCCCCGTCCCTGGGATTCTCCAGGGAAGAGCCCTGGAGTGGGTTGCCGTTTCCTTCTCCAATGCATGAAAGTGAAAAATGAAAGGGAAGTTGCTCAGTTGTGTCTGACTCTTAGTGACCCCATGGACTGCAGCCTACCAGGCTCCTCTGTCCATGGGGTTTTCTAGGCAAGAGTACTGGAGTGGAGTGCCATTGCCTTCTTCGCACTGCCTCTAGAGTGTTCCTGAAACGCCCCTTTGACTACTGATGCTCTGTTTAAAGACATCAAAATAGCTCTCCATGTGCCAAAGGGTTACAAGTTAAGGAAAGGGACTGAGTTCCCAAGAACCTCTCCTGCCATCTGCTGGTCATCCACCAGGAGCCAGTGCAAATGTACAAAGACTACAGAGGTGAATGAAGGCCCTGCCTCACCCCAGAGGTGAACAACCAGAAGCATCGCCTTGGACAGACGGTCCCTTCCCCCAGGCCCTGACTGGGAAGATCCTTACCTGGGCTGGGCTGTATTCTTGTGCCAGAAATTGGTGATTTCATTGAGCCCCTGTGATGTGCTTGGCATTAATTAACTCATTGAGTCCTCAGAGAGATTAGCAGAACTATTAGCTGGCAAAATGTGAAACTGAAATGCAGGATCTGACTTAGACATCCACGATTGGTTGGCTGATTGGTTGGTTTTACTTACACTCTCTATGACTCCATCACCTCTTGCATAAAATAAGGGTAACATAGTACTTTCACATAAAACTGTTGTAAGGACTAAACAAGTTGTGTGGTATGCTAAGTCACTTCAGTCATGTCCAACTCTTTGTGACCCAATGGACTGTAGCCCCCCAGGCTCCTCTGTCCATGGGATTCTCCAGGCAAGAATACTGGAGTGGGTTGTCATTCCCTTCTCCAAGGGATTTTCCTGACCTAGAGGCACTTTGGAAGCCCTTTAAATAAGTTAATAAATGCTAAATGCTGAAAACAGGACAGAAAACATAGTGAAAACTAAATACACGAGTATTTGCCTGCATAACACACACACACACACACACACACAGGTCCACAGTGGAAACCAGGAAATGGTCCATTGCCTGGAGGTAGACTTCTCAATTTTGTTTTGTAGATCCTTTACTTTCTAGATGTGTCCTTGGGAGAACTACACAAGGTCGCTGAGCCTCATCTCCATCCCTGTAAAAGGGGGCATACAGAACTCCCTGAGTTGCGGGGCTGCTGGCAGGACCAGGACATGTACAACCATTGTGTGTAATCCACTGAGTGCTCTATAGGTTATGTTAACACTGAGGAGGGCATGAAGCTGCAGGGTATCCCTGACTCTTAACCTGGGACAAGCCAGAAGGCAGCTAGAACTTGACGAGGACAGAGGCACTCTAGCCCTCAAGCACAGGGCGCACTAGAACCCAATCCCTAAGGATACATTGCTATCCCCTTCCTAGATGGAGGAGCTCTGTCCCCTTCTCCCTAAAGTACTTCTGCATCCCACCACGAAGTAAGGGGTGGAAGTGCTGGCGGCTAAGTGAGGGACTGAACCCTGCATGTCAAAAGTCAGAATTTCTGCAGTGGATCAAGAGCTCAGGTCACCCAAGTATGGGAGCTTACACAGGGAATCCACCAGTGAAAAGGGGAGGCATCACTGCCCAGGGAAGCAGCCCCCAGTGCAGCAGAGACAAACGGCCACGCACCGGCAGCTGAGAACAGCCCAGCCCTAACTCTCCAGGGAGCAGACGAGGTGAAGTCACCATTTGGCAAATACCAGTGTGGGTCATCAGAGCCTACCGAGAGAAATGTAGGGTGCATGGTCTGTAACATAGGATGCAAGGACTGTAATGTAGGGTGCATGGACTGTAATCAGGTAGGGCCTGAAAGAGATCTGATTCATGGGTCCCTACGGTGGGAAGAACATTTCCAGACAACCTGCATGCTGTCTGTGGCGTTTCTTCCTCGGGCAAATGGGTTGGAGCCACGGCTTGTTGAGTGAAGCCATGAGAGTGAGGAGACAGCCAGGACCCAGCAAGTCCGCAGAGCTGGGTCTGAGATGGATTCACCCCAGACAAATGGGAGTTCAAGTATTTGAGCCCAAACACCAGCTCCCAAGAAAAGATAGGAGGCGAGATGAGGCTGAGCCGCATCTTGTGTCTGAGCAAAACCCCACGGACTTCATCAGCACTGGGTCCAAAACGATGAGCCAAGAGTGTTCGATGCAACCGCCAAGCCAGCAAGTGAAAACAAGGATATGGAAACAGCAAGAACAGCAATCTGGGCAAGGGAAGGGGGTGAGGGCAGTTTCCACGGCCAAGCACTGAGGCCCAGACACACAGCACCCATAGGCCTACAGGATGATGAGGCCCCCTGAAGCCACCCCACGTGGAGGATAGCTGTGGAGCCTGGGGCTCAGGGCCTGTCTGTGGGCTGTTTCCAGGGGCACTCAGGGTGGCAGCATGACCAATGTGGAAGAGGACAGATATCTTCTCTGGGGAGGCTGGATTAAAAGGTCTCTGGGCTTCTGCATAAATCCCCTCCAGTTCCCAGAGACCAATCCAGAAGTTTCCTTGCCCTCCTTCCCGGCCACAGCTCCCTGTGCCACATGGAGAAGAGTTCCCCTGGCTCCCAGTGCCCAGGGGATGGCTCACTCCATGGCCAAGGAGCTTCCACAAGGCACTGCCATGGCTGGAGCACCCGGACCCATCCTTCCCTCCTCTTCTTCCTCCCTTAGTGCTGATCGGCGTGGGCACTGAGACCTTCCTCCGGGGACAGTTCAAAAGTCTGGCTTTCTATCTGCTGTGAGTATGTGTGCATGGGCCCCTCCCTGCCAGTATGTTCTATTCCAGCTTACCCCAATCCTTCTGCTGAGATTCACCCACAGTACCTCCCCACATCCTATGCGAGCTCTGTTCTGTCCCAAAGGTGAAAGGAATAGCAGGGGCTTCTAGAATATCCTCTTGTTTGGAAAGGACTTTAGACAGATCATCCCACAAACCGACCAATCAGCATTCCATCCATCCATCCATCCACCCATCCATCCATCCATCCACCCACCCTTCCACCTACCCATCCATCTATCCACCCACCCACTCCTCCACCTACCCATCCATACACCCATCTATCCATCTCATCAATCATTTCTTTATTCATCAAACATTAAGCAAGCTCTTTTTTAGAGAGATGGGAATCAGTTCAAAGAATTCTCTATTTGAGCTCCTCTGTATGCCAAGCACAGTTAAATGTTTTGTTTACATTATGTCCATTACCTTTGACAGAGTTATAGGAGAAGTGCACATTACATAGTCTGTTTTGCAAATTAAAAGAATACAGAGGAGTAAGCAGCTCAGCCCACATCACCAAGCCCAAGACCAGCAGGGCCCAGATTCATCCACCTGGGTCCCTTTAGTTTCTCAACCTCTCTTTCTCATCTGCCAGCTGCCTCTGCAAACGCCCTCTAGTGGGGGGGGGGATGGAAACCTGTGCAGCGGTGAGGAGAGCCTGGTTTCCCTTCCCTGCGGGTTCTGACAACCCAGCTTCTCAGCAGGCCACCTTGAGGGACCACCAATCTGCCTGCAGCATCACCAGGCTGCATCCTCTGCCCACACCTGCTCCTGTCCACACCCGCCCGCATCACTGTGCCTCCCCAGGGCTGCTCCTCAGAGCAACCTCCTTGGTTTGCTGTTAATACATGGATCACACCCATTAGCTCCCAATCCCATTCTCCCCTTCCGGTCCATTTCCACTCTACCACTTTAGCCACTTAAAACTAGGTCCTTCTGACAATCTTCAGTGGATCCCACAGCCTCCAGCCTACACTCCTTTGTCATCCTCTGGCCTCTGTCTTATTTCTTATCCCTCAGTTTATACCCCAGGAACTTCTGACTCTTTCTCAAACTCACCCATGTCACCTCCCCTCTAAGCCATTACTCCATCCCGTAGAGTGCAAGAGAGCCTTCCCAGTCACTCCAGCATCCCCAGAGCCTGACGTTTTGCCCTGCGTGCCTCCCGAGCCTGGAGCCCCCGCCAGACAGAAGTGACTTTTCCTGGCTCCGAAGGCCCTTCATGTCTTACTGAGCCTGTGCCCGGCCACTGTGCACTGTCTTCCTGGAACCCGGAAGCAGGGCAGGCCTTCCCTCTCTCCCATGGCTGCCTAGTTAGTCCACAGTCCTGGTGACCCTGGGTAGATGGATATGCCTGCCAGTGTCCAAGCAGCAGTGTGTGGGGTCAAGGTGGTCTTCACTGCTGGCCTGTAGGTCCCTCACCTACCTCTGGGCCCCAGCCTCCACCCCACCCCCACTACCAAGGCTCAGCCCAGCCCAGCACAGGGCCTGGCATCCAGGAAGCTCCTAGTGGCTGTTGGCTGGATGGCAGGATTCGGTCAAGAAACTCCCGGTCAGTTGTTCAGCTATACACAGAAGCCCAGGAGGCCAAGGTGCTGTGAGAAAACTCCCAAGGAATGTGAAGAGTGTGTCTGGCCTCCTTCACCTGTCTCCACACAGGTTTACAGGAGCTGCCGTCTCTGTGAGCGAAGGGGCCTACTTTGTGGCTCAGCTGCTGTCCATCTGCTTCCAGTAAGTAGCCTCTGGAGCTCCCCCAATACCCCCAGTCCCAGACACCCCAGATGCCTCCACCCATGAGCACACGACTGCGAAGTGTTATACTCCCGAAGCAGCAGTGGATGGGTTCCCCTCCCGACCCCACAGTGAGCCCCAGCCCAGACTTGGAAGTGGACTGACACATCCATCAGGGCCTGACTCCACCCAGAGTCCACTTGCAGAGTCATCCTCATCCTCCAGAAACACCCAGTCACCGTACCTGCCATCTGAGTCGGCCACCAAGGGGCAGAACCCCACAGAAGGCCAGCTTGGACCATGCAGAGCTGGGTTTGAGAACTGACTCTGCCTCCTGCCAAGATGCAAGGATGAGTCAGGGCCTTGGCCTCCAGGCCCATTTGTGGGGCAGGACTGCAGACCTTGCAGGGTCTTGGGAGGCCACATGGCCAGAGGCCTGTACCTCTGCCCACTCGTGTTCAGCTCACAGAAGCTGTCATCAGTGTGGCCAAGGACTCGTCCTGGGCCACATTCTCAGAACCTACACAGTTGGGTCTCTAGGCAGTCAGCATGAAGAGTCAGACTTCAAATCCAGCTGTCCTGGTATCTTGCACGGCCACTGGCTGCCTCCCAGGGTCACCAGCCTGAGACAGAAGTCTTCCCCCATTTCTGCTGAACACCACTGCTGAGGGACCCTTGCAGCTTCTCAGGGCAGGGGAGGGTGCTGCCCTCACCCTAAAGGGGCATTTTACCCTCTCGACTTCCTCCGTTCCCACCCTGGGCTTGTCACAAAATAATGACCACCAGGGGGCACCAATGGACCACGGCAGAAGGCTCTGGTCCCACATAACCCAGCCAGACGTTCCTGCAAAGCAAGCCTGGGCTGTGTCCAAAGTCCGCTTCAGGCCAATTCACAGGGTGAAGGAGGGGGAACTAAACGCAAACACTAACCTCCTTTGCAACTTGGAGGAAGCATCCTTAAGGAAACCTGCTCAGCATCAGGCCCACCTGTTGGTCCTTGCGTGCCAGTTTACATAGAAGCCCCTCTAGGCCGATGCCATCTCATGTCTAGGCAAGGCCCCTTTGAGCGGGGTACAGCTGGATTCCAGCCCTGTTGCCCATGTGTCCAGGCCCTTTGTACAATGCACAACCCTCACAACTGTCCCATCCAAGTGTCGCCCGTGCTGCACACCTTCACTGCACTGTGGACTCACAAGGTGCCCCTGGGTCTCCTACTCCTCTTCCCACCGCCTTTGCAGCATCCTGAGAGCATTTACCTTCCTCCACCTAGACCAGACAGCTGTGGCTGCACGGCCTTTCAAAAAAACTGTTGGAGACCCTCTGGAGAGGCTCGGGCAAGGCCCCCTTACTGTGAAACCCACAGTGAGGAGTTCGCCTCCTGGGAGGAGTTCAACCAGAGGCCACTGCAGAGAACATGGCCGTAATGGAACCCAATCCCAGACTCTGAGGGCTTTTTACATTGCTGGGACTTTTCCGGGCGCCTCCCTACTTCCTGCCAATCCTGGACTTCCTCCCCGCAGGTGTCAGCCAGGGTCCCTGGCCTACAGAGCAAGAGAGAAGGCCCACTGGCTGGGCTGCTTCCAGAGGTTCCTGGCCTACATGCTGCTGTCGGTGGCCTGCTTCCTCCACCCTGTCCTGGTCTGGCACGTGACCATCCCAGGTAGGAGCTCCAGGAGGTAGTGGAGGCAGGCAGGCTCTGGCCAAGGGTGGGCTCTGAGCACAAGAGTCTGAATCGCCCTCTCATGGGCCTCCAGTGATGCCGGCTCTAGGGCCCCACTGGTCCCTTCCTGGCATAGATTGTAGGGATGAAGAATTTATCAAGAGGCAGGAACATCCCAGGAAATGCATTTTTCCTGTAAATGTCCAGAGGTTATACCCACAAAAGCAAACTGACCTTTTCTCCCATTCTTGTGTGTGATCTGACCTTTCAGAGAGAGCGAGATGATCACTTATCCATCCAAACCTTTGTGTCTCCTTAGCCCCTGCCCATTCAGGTCAGGACTCCTCAGCTGGTTTGAAAGGCACACTAAATGGGACCCCCAAAGGCCCTCAAAACCCCTCTAATTATCCCCCTCTATTCATCCCCCTCTACTCACCCTGTTAGCCAGCCCAGTTTTCTGATTTCAGAATTTGGAAATGGATGCCTCTACCTCCTGCGTTTCAATGAAGCCTTTTTCTGCTGGGACACTTCTCTCTCCTCCCTAGCTGTGAAAACTGCACCCCTCCTCAATACCCATCTAAAATGCCAGGAAGCTGACCGCCTTTGGAAATGAGGTTCAAAGGCAGAGCCTCCTCTTCTTCCCTGTAGTTTCTACCCTAGCCTCTCAGATCTATCCTCACCTCTCAGGGCCACTCCAGGCAACATTCAGTAGAGTCAGACTCAGCATGGCCAAGGTCAAAGTGAGCCACAACCTCCTACCTTTAGAGAGAGTGAGATACAAGGGAGGTTCCGGCCCCGGCAGGCAGGAGAGCCACCTTCACCCCTTCCTCTGGACCAGGGGGTGCTCCCAGCAGGAGACAGAGGGGCCTCTAGTTGGAGGCTGCATGAGGGGCCAGGAGGGGAGTGAACACGTGCCAGCTGCACCCAAAGGGATTTGCAACTTCCTCTGTGTTTACTGGAGGCGGGTGGTAGTAAAGAAGGTTGTCCCCGCTCCTTCTATTCCCAGGAAATAGAAGGAAGCTCGGATCAGCAGTCGGATCCTGGTATCCAACGTAGAGTCCAGTTTGCTGAAGGCATTGCAGGTCCAGACACAGCAAGCCATCCCTGAGAGGGAGGCTGAGCACAGTGAAGGGAGAACAGGCAGGAACAACACAAGGATCAGCTTCCTACACAAAGCGGGTCTCAGGCACAGGGTCTCCTGGCTAATGGTCGCGGTGAAGACCCCAGGATAGACTGGCCCTGCTGACATCTCCTGCTGGGCTGGCATTAGCCTGCCACAGGGTCTGATGTGGGTGTGTGAGGACAAGTTAGGTGTGCAGGCTGGAGCACTGGGGGCCTAAGTGTGGCTGCACAGGCCGCCTGCACAGGGACGGTGGGCATCTGGCTTTTCTCGAGGATGTGTCCAGCATCCTGACCTCCCAGATCTCTCCCAGGCTCTATGCTCATCATCACCGGTCTGGCCTACTTCCTGCTGAGCAAGCGGAAAAAGAGCAAAGCTGCTGCAGAGGCGCTGGCCCCCCCAGAGCAGTACACAGACCCCTCCAGCAGTGTGGTCAGCACCACCGGCTCTGGGGACACCGAGCAGACCTACACCTTCCACGGAGCCCTCAAGGAGGGACCTGGCTCCCTCTTCATCCATGTGAAGAGCATCCTGAAGGGGACAAGGAAGCCCAACGCCCTCCGACGCCCAGACACCCTGACGGAGCTGACTCTGGAGCCGGCTGACTCGCTGGCCAAGAAGAAGCAGGTGCACTTTGAGGACAGCGTGGTGAAAATCATCCCGGCCCTGGCAGAAGGCCCGGACGATGGGGACAGCGAGCCGGAGGAGACCACCTCTGACACCACCCCCATCATCCCGCCCCCCGAGGCCCCACTCTTCCTCTCTTCCCTCTCGAGCCCTGGCCTCTTCTGAGCTGCTCTTTCCAGGCTGGGGGATGCTCAGCAAGGAGTCTGTATAGATATATGGTCCTGCCAGGAATTCTCTGGTGTCCAGGGCCCCTCTGGGGAGCTCAGAGTCTTCACAGGTCAGCTCTTCAGGGGTTACCAGACATCCCCATGGTGGCTGGGCCTCTGGGGCCACTGGGCAGCAGGACAGGTCCTGTGGAGACCATGAGGGTGGCACAGGTGAAGCTCACGCTGCCTCGAGCCCTCACAGGTTCCTCCCTCCTGGACCCAGACTGGAGAAGTCCTTGTGCTTCCCTGAAGGAGATCATCACTCCCACCTCACACAAGGCATCAGCCCAGAAGTCCTGGGGCTTTTTCAGCTCCTGAGCCCGGATCCTACCCTCTACACCGTCACAGCCCATCTCCTCTCTGATGTAACATAGCTCTGCAGGCCCAGCGGTGCTCTGGCAGCTTATGCATCTCAAAGGCAGGTGTTGACGACCGCCATGGTCCCGAACTCCAACTGAGAGTGTTCAGGACGGGAAGCAGGGAAGGAAGGCAAGGTGGCGAACCCCCAGGGTGGGAGCGGTGCCGAGCAGTAGGCCGCATTCTCTGCGTGCTTCAGGGCTGGCGCCAGGCAGGGAGTCACAGAGCCACTCAGGGAGACAATGCGGCTCTGTGCTCACTGCAGGGAGAGCGGGGCTGGGACAGTGATGCTCATTCCAGAAGCATCGCTGAGGGCTCCCTGTATCCCCACCACATGGGTTCTCAAGATTCCAAGCAGATGATGTAAACTAAAAGAGACTGTGAGCCGACAATCTTCGGCCGTGAATGCCAACATACATGACAAGGCGCCTGCTGTGTGCAGGGGGCACGGGGCGGTGCCTTGGGGACTCACACAGCCTGGAGACATGGCTCTGGGCTGCTTGGTGACTAGTAGCAGAAGAGGTGAGAAATGTATGTTTGTTCAAAATGGGAGAGAAGGAAGGAAGAGCAGGGGAAAGAGGGAAGATAGGAAAGTGGGCAGGAAACAGGCCAGCCCTGTGCCACAGGGCCATGGAAGTGACAGTTAACCCAGGATGAACAAATAAAGTTGAATCAAATATTCAGTTAAGGAAACTGCAATATATGTTTCTAAAAAGTGTTCTCTGGTCCTTCAGGTGGTTGCAAGGCAGAACAGATGTGTTATTCTTCATAAGTAATCTTAATTAATGAGCAATTATATAATGCTTCCCATTCATGTGTGTGAGCAAACACTAGGGTTCTGCAGAATAAACCTTAGAGCACATGCTTTGAGGTTTAGGTAAGAAACATTTGCTTATTCTTGTACACTTTTCCATATTCCCTACAAGTTATTTCGCAAATGAATGGAAATAGCCAACCAGAAGCTGGTATCAGTGTGGTGCCTACACACAGCAGGTGTCCCAAACATGCAGACTCCTTCCTGGGGACAGGGGTGGGGGGACAGTTCTTCTATAAAACCAAGTGAGAAAGGATTCTCATAAGCCCTCAAAGGTGGAAGCTGCAGAGTTGTTTCTTTAGCCGCCACCAAGGAGGAACTTCAGGAGTCACCGTCCGGGGAGAATGAGTAATATGGATCATGGGTATGTGTAGGCAGGGATTGTGCTGGATTCGTAATGGGCCAGGGTTCTCAGGCTGGCCTGCTGTGCACCCAGGGAGCCCAAGTGGGAAGGAGTTAAGGTCCCCACCTGTCATGGGGGGTGGGGGCGGAGGTGATGGGCAGAGACATCCTCACTGCACAGGCCTCTAGAGAACACGATGCTCCTACCCCGTTCTCAGCCCAAGTCAACTGAGCTAGATGGATGACTCGGTCTCAGTAAGCATCTGGGAAGCACAATCTCAGAGATTTCAGGCCCCATTAGTAAACATCTCAGTTTATTAAGAGATGTTTAATAAACATCTGCTATGGCATTGTTCGTGAGGTGGGCACTGGGAGTTCCGGATGATATTCTGAAACCTCTAGGTTTCCTGGTGGGCTTCTCTGTAAAGAATCTTCATGCAATGCAGGACACTTGGATTTGATTTCTGGATCAGGAAGATCCCCTGGAGAAGGGAATAGCTACCCACTCCAGTACTCTTGCCTGGAGAATTCCACGAACAGAGGAGCCTAGCAGGCTACAGTCCATGGGGTTGCAAAGAGTCAGGCATGACTGAGCCACTCAACACTAGCAACTCCACACTAAGGCTTCCTGGTGCCTGCTATCAGTAAAAGGAGTCTGCTGCGTATGAAACATTAGAGGCTTAGGTGATTATGAACTTACCTAGGTTAACAAGCTAAAGTTCTTCAACACTCTTGCTGACCCCACCCTACCCTTCAAAACAGGCTTGGATGAGGTCAATCAATAGACCAGAGCCCTCATCTCTGTCAACGCACCAGGCAAGAAAGTAGCACTTTCCTCAAAAGCAGGCAAGCACCACGTCTCCATCTGATTCTCAATCCAAAACACTAAACCACATCCTTATCTACTGCTGTCCTTACGAAGATGTCCTGACTTCCATCTCACTGAGAAACAAAGACTAGAAGGGCTGACCTTTTGGTAGCCTGCCCCATTTTCTCGGCAGAAGGCAGAGCAGACAGAGTGTAGATGCAGAATAGAACTATTGGACACGCAGCACTACAGTCCATGGGGTTGCAAAGAGTCAGGCATGACTGAGCCACTCAACACTAGCAACTCCACACTAAGGCTTCCTGGTGCCTGCTATCAGTAAAGGGAGTCTGCTGCGTATGAAACATTAGAGGCTTAGGTGATTATGAACTTACCTAGGTTAACAAGCTAAAGTTCTTCAACACTCTTCTTGCTGACCCCACCCTACCCTTCAAAACAGGCTTGGATGAGGTCATTCAATAGACCAGAGCCCTCATCTCTGTCAATGGACCAGGCAAGAAAGTAGCACTTTCCTCAAAAGCAGGCAAGCACCACGTCTCCATCTGATTCTCAATCCAAAACACTAAACCACATCCTTATCTACCGCTGTCCTTACGAAGATATCCTGACTTCCATCTCACTGAGAAACAAAGACTAGAAGGGCTGGCCTTTTGGTAGCCTGCCCCACTTTCTCAGCAGAAGACAGAGCAGACATAGTGTAGATGCAGAATAGAACTATTGGACATGCAGCACTGGGCTGAGGTGGGGGGAGCAGGGGGGGGGGTTGTTCTTAAATCTGCTCTTAACACGTTGACTGACCTCTGCCAAGCCCCTTCACCTCCCTGGGTTCCAGGATCCCCTATTAAGTAGGAATAACAGCACTTCTCTCAGAATAGGTGCAAAGTCTTCCCGGAAAATGGGGAAAGTGCTTTTTCAGATTACACATCGCCCAAGTCGGTGTGAGTGCTTGTTACTGTGGGTCCCGCAGTGAGAAAACATCAGCAAGGCTTGTCTCCGGGGCACAGCCAACGCAGATCTCAACTCCAGATTCCAGGACTTGAGCCTGGAGAGGGTGTAGACACCATGCTCCAGCTTCGACAGAAAGCCAAAGCAGAACCCCAGTAACGGGGAGCCATGCTCTAGGGTCGGTGGGAATGGGAGGTGACCTAGTATTCTAGTCTCTCTCCTATTAGTACTAAAGGATTATTTTTTAATTTTTAAAATAGCTTTATTGAGATATGGTTCAAGTATCACACAATTCACCAAAGTGTATAATTGAATGCTCTTTGTTGTATTCACAATCGGGTTTACTACAACCTAAGATAATATATTTTTATCACCCCTACAAAATGTCTGTTACTCGTTAGCAATTATTCCCCACCCTACTACACTCCTACCCTAAGCAACCACAATCTACTTTCTGTGTTTTTAGGTTTTCCTATTCTGGACATTCCATGTAAATTGAATCATATGATATGTGGTCTTTTGTGAGTTGCCTTATTCACTTAGCATAATGTTCTCAAGGTTCATCCATGTCGTAACACATATTTTACTTTATTCCTTTCCATGGCTGAACACTCCTATATGGATATACAACTTGTGTTCATCCATTCATCTCTTGATGGACTTTTGGGTTATTTCCATTTTGTGCCTATTATGAATAATGCTGCTATGAACATCCTCATGTACATGTTTTAGGGTGAACATGTATTTTCATTTCCCTGATATATACGTAGCTGTGGAATTGCTTGGTTAAGTGGTAAATCAATGTTTAACACCTTGAGAAACTGCAAAACTGTCTTGCAAAGGGGCTGCATCATTTTACCCTACCATCAACAGTGTATGAGAGTTCTGATTTCTCCATATTCTCACCAACATTTGTTATTGTCTGATTTTTTATTATAGTCATTCATAATTATGGTTATGATATGCATTTACTTAATGACTAGTGAGTTGGGGCAACTTTCCATGTAATTATTGACCATTTCTATACCTTCTTGAGAAACCCCCATTCAAATGGTTTGCCCTTTTTTAAATTGGACTATTTGTCTTTTTATTGTAAGAAAAGAGCTTTTAATATATTATGGATACTAGACTTTTACCAGGTATGAAATGTCAAATATTTTCTCCTATTCTGTGGGTTGCCTTTTCTCTTTCTTGAAGAGTCTTTTGAAGCCGTTTCTCTTTCTTGCCTGATTTTCCTAGCTACCACCACCAGTACAACATTGACTAGAATAAGAGCAGACATCTTTATCTTATTTCTGAGTCTCAGAGAAAGCAATCTTTCTCCATTGAATATGACGCTAACTCAGTTTTTTGTTGATGTCTTTACGAGGTTGAAGAAGTTTCTTTCTATTTCCAAGTCGTTGAGTGATTTTATCATGAAAGGTTAGTGGATTTATCAAATGCTTGAGGGAAAACTGTAATCTAAAGTGAAAACTGTAGGGCGAGGGATCCTCTGTGTTATTAGCTATCCTTGCCCAGAGTGGACTACAGGTACCTGGAATAATTTCCAAGAGAGAGAACTGAGAGGGAGTAAGCCAATGGGTCGTGGTTCAAATGCCATATATACCCTCTCTGTTCTCACCAGGATTTAATAGATTTTCTTGAATCAACATTTCTCCATTTGCTGTATGCCCTT